TTGCCATGCCGCTAGTGAGCCATAACGATGTGTATAAGCGATGTTGTGTAACCCTGGCGTCTGTAAGCTGGCCAAGTAGGCGGATCGGGGTCAACTGGTCGTCCTTTGGGGACTATCTACACTGGGACTGTAAGTGTATTGTTTACCGGTTAGGATTGTCGGTATGCGTGTGAATGTATGTAAAAGAGAGAGAGAGAGAGTGTGTGTGTGTGTGTGTGTGTGAACACCGGTGATCACAGTGAAGCCGAGCCGAGTGCCGAGGCAAGCCCATGCGAAGGCTTTCACTGGACGGTAGAAACAAGAGGAGGAGATAAGTCGTCTCCGGCCGAGACCGACGTGTCCGGAAAGAGCACGTAGATGATGAAGCGTTGCGAAAGAGGGTGGGCGGGCTGGCCGATGGGAAGTTGATGGTGCTAAGTGGTGTGAATCTGGCCGCAGTAGATCAAGGCAAAGAGAGAGTGAAAGCGAGGGAGAGAGAGAGAGAGAGGGGGGATGAGAGAACTAGAGTATGGTCTGAATGATGCTGCTTTGGTGAGAATTAGCTGAGTGTCATTTTATCGTCTCGGTTTGAGAAGCCGGTCTCATTAATTCATGATGGATAAGACCGACGAAATGATTGGCCTCAAATTATGTTTTCCTGTCACCAAACGTGAAGGGAGGCAAGCGCCTGTGGCCGAGGACGATAAAGTGTGTGGTTGTATGTATACGTGCGTGTGGTTGGGTGAAAATGAAGAGGAGTAAAATAGATAAGTACGTGATTTCCTTTCACATAATAACGGGCTGCTAGTTTTGCCTGATCGGATTGCATCACAGCCAACTTTTAATGGCTCTCACTTAATGGCACAACAGCTTAAAGTCCTTCTTGTGTGGACCGAAGCGTTTGTCACAAGGTTTCAGGTGAGGAGGGCCGAATTTCAGGCTGGCTAGCTTGTTGGCTGGCCGGCTGGTTGGCTAGCCTTGGGACGGGATCTGGACCTAACATGCAATCGTCAGGATCGGGCAGATGAAGAGTACCTCATTCCTGTTGCCGACGCGTCGTCGAAGCAATGCCGGTGTCAGCTGCAACTTGTTCCGACTAGGCAGATTCTGAATTGGCTTGCTTTTCATGCGTATCTGCGGCATAAACACATGCAAATTCTGGTGCATGGAG